GCCGTGAACCCCTGGTCAGAGCATTTGTTTCGTTATCCGGAGCCGGCACATATATTTTTAAACAGAACTGACCCGCGTTTCGGATATTTTAATGGCCAGAAATTAGCCAATTAAGCTCTCTTTCGAACGCCATCATATTAAAGCCGCCATTTTGGGGAACGATTCAAAGGAGAGTCATTATTTCTATTAACAATGTATGCGGTAAACATTAAAAAAAAAAAAAAAAAATATTTTGCAGCTCAGCCATTATACAGGTTCCCCCTCCCTCCCAACCCCACTAAAAATAAAATTTTATGACGTAAAATTTCTCTTCAGGTATGTTTTGCATGTCCAGAAATGGAAACAGAAATTGTTACTAATAATACAGTGTCAACATCATTAGCTCTAACAATAACACTCTATTCGGTGTAATTTCTGTTAAATAGAAGTTCTTTAATGCATAATCAGTAATCAATAAAATAAATAGCGAGTGAGTGGCGTTGAACCCTAACAGGACCGTGTTGGACTAACACCCGGTGACACAAGATGACACAGTTCCGATGAGAATCCGCCGGGCAGAAGTCCCAGATATCCCGTTCAACCGTTAGGTTCTATTATGGCGCCTGACGATAGCCGGGTGTGGCTGTTAGATAACAAAAGATTGCGTCCGTACTGGGACAGTTGAAATAACTGAATTAAAGAGTACATGTTAATCATGAATATAATATTACAGCGCGTTGTACATGCAAGTCATATAATATCTCCATACATATTTGTACACAATCCCGTAAATAATCAGGTATTTAACTATTTATCTGACTCTTAATCACACTGGAGGGGGGGGGGAATGCGTTGCGGAAAAGTTGCAGAATTTTTTTTAGGATAGCACGGAACGAGATAAAGAAACACGTGGAAATCCTGCATGATCTGATTATCGAGGAGAATTGTCTCATAAACAGCATCCTGTCCTGAAAGCTGGAGTTGGCCATGTGAAACATCATGGTGGTCTGGAGAGGGTGGCAATAGAGGGTACAGTGTCCATACAACGAGGCCGGGGCAGACCACCGCGAAGGTGGACACAAGACGTTAGAGATGCATTGAATGTGAAAGCACACAGGGCTGGAGAACTGGCTAGAGACTTTCAGGCGTGCCGCGAAGAGAGCGACGTTCTGTGAAGTACATGCTGACTGGTGACAACAGTTCTTCTGACAACAGCAACATGTCTTTTCCAATGTGAGTGAATCCACTGGCAGGGGTGTCCGAGGTGGTCTGCCTTGGCAGGGGTGTCCGAGGTGGTCTGCCTTGGCAGGGGTGTCCGAGGTGGTCCGCCTTGGCAGGGGTGTCCGAGGTGGTCTGCCTTGGCAGGGGTGTCCGAGGTAGTCTGCCTTGGCAGGGGTGTCCGAGGTGGTCTGCCTTGGCAGGGGTGTCCGAGGTGGTCTGCCTTGGCAGGGGTGTCCGAGGTGGTCTGCCTTGGCAGGGGTGTCCGAAGTGGTCTGCCTTGGCAGGGGTGTCCGAGGTGGTCTGCCTTGGCAGGGGTGTCCGAGGTGGTCTGCCTTGGCAGGGGTGTCCGAGGTGGTCTGCCTTGGCAGGGGTGTCCGAGGTGGTCTGCCTTGGCAGGGGTGTCCGAGGTGGTCTGCCTTGGGAGGGCTAAGTTAGCTACATGTTATTGTAGGCTCCATTTTGGTAGACGAGGGGGGGGGGGGTTTTGAATCACTGCTCCCGAACCAGCATGTTGTAGGAGGTCAGTAACTAGAAGTGTTTCCTTCGAAATCAGAGTGAGTCTGCTTGAAAGGCAAGAAACCAACAGTCTGCATACAGATAAGGCAGATATGTAAACGTATGTGCATGCAAAACTCAGATTCTGCAATAAGACCAAAGTATAGAAGTGGACGAACAACCCGAACTTTCCAACGGAGTGTACAACCGGTGAACGCTAAGAAGAAAAAGAGATTGCACACCGACATCTCTGCGAATTCCCCAGTCTCCCTCGTGGGGCACAGCGGCAAGGATATGTATGGCTGTGACATGCGCAGTAAGGATATGTAAGCCTCTGACATGCGCGGCAAGGATATGGCTGTGACATGCGCGGTAAGGATATGACTCTGACATGCGCGGCAAGGATATGTATGACTCTGACATGCGCGGCAAGGATATGTATGACTCTGACATGCGCGGCAAGGATATGGCTGTGACATGCGCGGCAAGGATATGGCTGTGACATGCGCGGCAAGGATATGTATGCCTTTGACATGCGCGGCAAGGATATGTATGCCTCTGACATGCGCGGCAAGGATATGCATGATTCTGACATGCGCGGCAAGGATATGCATGACTCTGACATGCGCGGCAAGGATATGTATGACTCTGACATGCGCGGCAAGGATATGTATGACTCTGACATGCGCGGCAAGGATATGCATGACTCTGACATGCGCGGCAAGGATATGGCTGTGACATGCGCGGCAAGGATATGACTATGACATGCGCGGCAAGGATATGTAAGACTCTGACATGCGCGGCAAGGATATGTATGTCTCTGACATGCGCGGCAAGGATATGGCTGTGACATGCGCGGCAAGGATATGCATGATTCTGACATGCGCGGCAAGGATATGGCTGTGACATGCGCGGTAAGGATATGACTCTGACATGCGCGGCAAGGATATGCATGATTCTGACATGCGCGGCAAGGATATGGCTGTGACATGCGCGGTAAGGATATGTATGACTCTGACATGCGCGGCAAGGATATGGCTGTGACATGCGCGGCAAGGATATGTATGACTCTGACATGCGCGGCAAGGATATGTATGACTCTGACATGCGCGGCAAGGATATGGCTGTGACATGCGCGGCAAGGATATGTAGGCCTCTGACATGCGCGGCAAGGATATGTATGACTCTGACATGCGCGGCAAGGATATGTATGACTCTGACATGCGCGGCAAGGATATGGCTGTGACATGCGCGGCAAGGATATGTAGGCCTCTGACATGCGCGGCAAGGATATGTAGGCCTCTGACATGCGCGGCAAGGATATGTAGGCCTCTGACATGCGCGGCAAGGATATGTAGGCCTCTGACATGCGCGGCAAGGATATGTAGGCCTCTGACATGCGCGGCAAGGATATGTATGACTCTGACATGCGCGGCAAGGATATGTATGACTCTGACATGCGCGGCAAGGATACGTATGCCTCTGACATGCGCGGCAAGGACGTCACCCCAAAATATTGTTGCCATTATCGTAAACGGCTAGAGGTCAGATCAACAACAGTCAGGATGAGGAGATTCTCTTTCTTCGTTTGTATCATTTTATTGAGTTTGAATCGGGCACGCTTGTGTTACTGGCGGAGGTAGTACCAGCAATCAGTCATTATCATGTGCCAAATAACATGCGTGGACGATCCGGAATGGGCGATTCTAAGGGCCACCACAGTACTTTGATCATGTCTACGTTCCTAACGTAAACAAGTCAATCGGAATTTTTTTAATTTCTTTTTTTTCTGTTTGAATTCCATGGCTCCATCTAACGAGCCTTGCCAGCAGTCGTTCAGTTTTCGCTGCACACCTCCTCAAGTCTGGATTTTGTTCGTTTCATTTATGGGCTCTCCTCCGAACTTCTACAAGATATTATGGCGGCCATAAAATATCCTTACGGGGCTCAGGCATATGTAAAATGCGGACTTTCTGCCAAGGAACAAATCGCTGCAAAACTAGGATTACTTGACAATTTCAAGAGACGCAACATTGCAGACGATATTAATTGGAGGAAGTTGCAAGAGATGCGGTAGCTCCTACTTGTGAGTCCCAGCCATCTAGCTACGCGCGGCGCGGGGGATACGGTCGGCGGTGAGGCATAGTCACAGAAACAGGTCCGCAAGTAACATTTCGCTGAGACCCTGTTAGAGCATTTGTTTCGTTATACGGAGCCGGCATATTTTTAATAGAACTGAGCCCCGTAAGGATATTTTATGGCCGACATAATATCGGGTAGAAGTTCGGAGGAGAGCTATTTATGTAATGCTTGGTTGCTGGTGAATCCCCCGAATTTTTGTTCTCAATTCCGTTTAAGTGGCAATCAGTTTGAACACAACCTGTCGATGCATCAGACTCAGTTGTTGGTTACTTAACTGTGAGCAGACGAACCGCCAGCGGCCAGAGGGACATCTCTCTAATCAGAATATCTCACGATTTCTGTTCTCACAACTACACTAAGCTCCCCCCCCCCCCCCCCCACAGGTCTGTCCAATATCATATCTCCATGTGCCTTTACTATTGCATCCTCATACTTTACACCCCTCACCCACCACATATACACCCACACCTGTTTCCACCCACCCCCGCCCAACTATGACAAACCCAGTCACCAAGGTAACAACAGTATCAATCCATTACCCTCATTTTTTCTTAAAAGTTAAAAGTAAATAAGCATGTTCACAAATCAGGCACACCAAAGACAAAAAACAAACACAACACACGCACCGACTATCAAAGAACACGCATAAGCACCCACACACTTGCAAAGCCAATCTCAGGTCGTCAGTCTCCCGTCGGTTCTTCTCCAGCTCCCTCTGGCAACAAGACAGGTCCCGCTTGGCGTCGCTGCACTCCGCGGACAGGCACTGCAGTTGTTCCCTGTAATCACGAGAGTGTTGGTTCAACACAGGACAAGACAGTCCAAATAATACTGACAGTTGATTCAACACAGGACGGGACAGCACTGTCCACACGGTACTGACACTTGATTCAACACAGGACAGGACAGTCCAAATAATACTGACAGTTGATTCAATACAGGACAGGACAGAACTGTCCACACAATACTGTCAGTTGATTCAATACAGGACAGGACAGAACTGTCCACACAATACTGACAGCTGGTTCAACACAACACAGGACAGAACAGTGCACACAGTACTAACAGCTGGTTCAACACAAGACAGGACAGAACTGCCCACACAATACTAACAGTTGGTTCAACACAAGACAGGACAGAACAGTGCACACAGTACTAACAGCTGGTTCAACACAAGACAGGACATAACAGTGCACACAGTACTGACAGCTGGTTCAACACAAGACAGCACAGAACAGTGCACACAGTACTAACAGCTGGCTTAACACAAGACAGGACAGAACTGCCCACACAATACTGACAGCTGGTTCAACACAAGACAGGACAGAACAGCCTACACAATACTGACAGCTGGTTCAACACAAGACAGGACAGAACAGACTACACGATACTGACAGCTGGTTCAACACAAGACAGGACAGGTCAGCCCACACAATACTGACAGCTGGTTCAACACAGGATAGGACAGAACTGTCTACACAATACTGACAGCTGGTTCGATACACGACTCTACTACCCACACAACTAGAACAGCATAATTGGTACACAAATTAGTACACAAAGATCAGCTCAGATCAGAAGCACCTTTTGCATCAAGTGCTCTTCGGCACAACGGCTTAAAGGGTATAAATCATGGCTAGATAATGCAGAAACGATAATAAACAGACCTGCAGTCTCGCAAACATCGATTCCGGCGAGAAAAGGATATTTATGCCCCAAGCTCCCAACCGCACCCTCTCATGTATCGCCACGCTTAATACCTAGTGTTGTCATGCAGAAGCTCACGCACTCATCTGTGACAGTTCGTCAAATGATGCCGGGTCAGTTGTGGGAGGATACAAGAGTGCATGGACATTCAAAACTAGCTGTGCAGGCAGAACAGTCCAGTGAGCCAGCGGTGCTTTTTACTATACTACCAACAGCACGATGATGGAGGTGATGGCGGTGACACGAGCTTTCATGTGGCTGGAATCACTGGACTATTCCCACGTGTGTGTGCTGAGCTTGATCCGGCTTGTGGATTCAGGCTTGTGGATTCAGGCTTGTGGATTTAGGCTTGTGGATTCAGGCTTGTGGATTCAGGCTCTGTACGCACACAGCAAATTGAGACATTGCACAACTGCCCTGAATTAATCTTGATCCCAATGCATGCCAGTGTTGCTGGCAACGAAGAGCTGATAGACCGTCCGGTTCTGCCTTAGGTGTTGATGACACACACATATCCCTGGCTACCAGTTACATAGACTTTCCTGTGTACTTGTTACACAAATATCCCTGCATACTTGGCACACAGATATCCATGTTTACCTGTTACACACATACATGTTCCTGTTTAGCTGGTACACACAAATCACAAATTACCTAGCACACTTATACTCCTGACATAACTTACCTAGCACACTTGTACTCCTGACACAACTTACCTAGCACACCTGTACTCCTGACACAACCTACCTAGCACACCTGTACTCCTGACACAACTTACCTAACACACCTGTACTCCTGACACAACTTACCTAGCACACTTGTACTCCTGACACAACTTACCTAGCACACTTGTACTCCTGACACAACTTACCTAGCACACTTGTACTCCTGACACAACTTACCTAGCACACCTGTACTCCTGACACAACTTACCTAGCACACCTGTACTCCTGACATAACTTACCTAGCACACCTGTACTCCTGACATAACTTACCTAGCACACCTGTACTCCTGACACAACTTATCTAGCACACTTATACTCCTGACATAACTTACCTAGCACACCTGTACTCCTGACATAACTTACCTAGCACACCTGTACTCCTAACACAACCTACCTAGCACACCTGTACTCCTGACACAACTTACCTAACACACCTGTACTCCTGACACAACTTACCTAGCACACTTGTACTCCTGACATAACTTACCTAGCACAATTGTACTCCTGACACAACTTACCTAGCACACTTGTACTCCTGACACAACTTACCTAGCACACCTGTACTCCTGACATAACTAACCTAGCACACCTGTACTCCTGACATAACTTACCTAGCACACTTATACTCCTGACATAACTTACCTAGCACACCTGTACTCCTGACACAACCTACCTAGCACACTTGTACTCCTGACACAACTTACCTAGCACACTTGTACTCCTGACACAACTTACCTAGCACACTTGTACTCCTGACACAACTTACCTAGCACACCTGTACTCCTGACATAACTTACCTAGCACACCTGTACTCCTGACACAACTTACCTAGCACACCTGTACTCCTGACATAACTTACCTAGAACACCTGTACTCCTGACACAACTTACCTAGCACACCTGTACTCCTGACATAACTTACCTAGCACACTTATACTCCTGACATAACTTACCTAGCACACCTGTACTCCTGACACAACTTACCTAGCACACCTGTACTCCTGACACAACCTACCTAGCACACCTGTACTCCTGACACAACTTACCTAACACACCTGTACTCCTGACACAACTTACCTAGCACACTTGTACTCCTGACACAACTTACCTAGCACACTTGTACTCATGACACAACTTACCTAACACACCTGTACTCCTGACACAACTTACCTAGCACACTTGTACTCCTGACACAACTTACCTAGCACACCTGTACTCCTGACACAACTTACCTAACACACCTGTACTCCTGACACAACTTACCTAACACACTTGTACTCCTGACACAACTTACCTAGCACACCTGTACTCCTGACACAACCTACCTAGCACACTTGTACTCCTGACAAAACTTACCTAACACACTTGTACTCCTGACACAACTTACCTAGCACACTTGTACTCCTGACATAACTTACCTAGCACTCTTGTACTCCTGACATAACTTATCTAGCACACTTGTACTCCTGACATAACTTACCTAGCACACTTGTACTCCTGACATAACTTACCTAGCACACTTGTACTCCTGACACAACTTACCTAGCACACTTATACTGCTGACACAACTTACCTAGCACACTTGTACTCCTTACGCAACTTACCTATCACACTTGTAGTCCTGACATAACTAACCTAGCACACTTGTACTCCTGACACAACTTACCTAGCACACTTATACTCCTGACATAACTTACCTAGCACACTTGTACTCCTGACATAACTTATCTAGCACACTTGTACTCCTGACATAACTAACCTAGCACACTTGTACTCCTGACATAACTTACCTAGCACACTTTTACTCCTGACACAACTTACCTAGCACACTTATACTCGTGACATAACTTATCTAGCACACTTGTACTCCTGACATAACTTACCTAGCACACTTGTACTCCTGACACAACTTACCTAGCACTCTTGTACTCCTGACACAACTCGACAAATTGGGCTCTCATCTCGTTGTTCTTCTTTTGTAGACTGTCTCGCAACTGTTGGGGGAAACCATAACACAAGTCACTTGATAACAGATCACAACTGTTGGGGGAAGCCATAACACAAATCACTTGTTAACAGATCACAACTGTTGAGAGAAACCATAACACAAGTCAAAGGTAACAGATCACAGCTGTGAGGGGGGGGGGGGAGCCATAACACAAGTCACCTGACAACAGATCACAACTGTTGGAAGAAACCATAACACAAATTAAAGGTAACAGATCACAACTGTTAGGGGGAACCATAACATAAGTCAAATGTAACAGATCACAACTGTTGTGGGAAACCATAACACAAGTCACATGGTAACAAATCACAACTGTTGGGGGAACGATAACACAAGTCAAAGCTAACAAATTACAATTGGGGAGAAACCATAACACAAGTCAAAGATAACAGATCACAACTGTGGGGGAAACCATAACACAAGTCACATGGTAACAGATCACAACTGTGGGGGAAACCATAACACAAGTCACATGGTAACAGATCACAACTGTTGGGGGAAACCATAACACAAGTCACATGGTAACAGATCACAACTGTTGGGGGAAACCATAACACAAGTCAAAGGTAACAGATCACAACTGTTGGGGGAACCATAACACAAGTCACATGGTAACAGATCACAACTGTTGGGGGGAACCATAACACAAGTCAAAGGTAACAGATCACAACTGTTGGGGGAAACCATAACACAAGTCACATGGTAACAAATCACAACTGTTGGGGTAACGATAACACAAGTCAAAGCAAACAAATTACAACTGGGGAGAAACCATAACACAAGTCAAAGATAACAGATCACAGCTGTGGGGGAAACCATAACACAAGTCACATGGTAACAGATCACAAATGATGTGACCAGTGACTGTGAAGGCAACTCGTTAAAGTTTAAAACAGGAAGTCTAACCGCTATGTGATATGTTCCAACGCTTATCCAACGTTTATACTTTTTAAATGATGTTGAATCCGAGGCTTGCCCAGGCTAAATAGATATCAGGGAAAGCCACGGGAAGTAGAGACAATAGGTGTGGCATTGGCCACGTTCCCGAATGCAGCTTCGTCTTATTTTTCAGCATTCTGAGCCCTTGAGATTCATTGCTGCAGATATCACCCGCCTCCACTCATTGCTGCAGATATCACCCGCCTCCACTCATTGCTGCAGATATCACCCGCCTCCACTTATTGCTGTTTGACCTTGTTTTTTTTTTCAGTTGGTGATACCAAGTGTTTGCAGGTCTGTCTGGAGATGATCTCTCCATCGTCTTCTTGGTCTGCCTCCCCCGAAGGTGTCTTCACCTTGCCTCGATGAGGAAGCTTGTGTTTCTCAATGACCCCGATAGCTATGATGGCGCTAGCGTAGCTACAAGCAGGGCCTTTAAGCCGCAAAGGTCGAAGGGTAGAGAACAGACACAGAGAGACACTCTGGTCCTCCAGGTTTGGGGTTGAAGCCTAGGGCCGACACCCCAACCTTAGTAAAACTGTATAAACAGATATCTAAGCTTCGATTTCGATTGCAGCTTGACCTACGAAAATATAAAGTTTTGCACCATGTATGGAATAACCTCAATGTGCATAAAAGAGTAACCATAGAAACTGACATACGTTGGATAACCAAACATTTGTGGGCGAAAGTAGCAAAGAATTACATCAAACGACATTTATGAGTCTGTTTTACTCGTGTGTGTGAGATATGTATGCACGCGCTTGTGTGTGCACGTGTGTGTGTGTTTGTATGTGTGTAGGGTGTTTTAAACTACCTATAATATGTTTTATATTTATCCCTATTTGGTTATGCCCTTTACTACACGCAGGTCTATATCTGTTTGCTAATTTTCGTGTAACTTCCACGATTTTTGTCAGTCTCTGGTACATTATGTTACTGTCTGCATATTTGCCTGTGCGTCTGTCATGAAGTTAATATGTCTATTTATGATTTTATAGATCAGTGTAGACTCGTGTCTGTCTAACTCAGTACGTTTATCTGTCTAGGCGGCAGTCACTCTGTCTATTGTTTATTCGTCTGCCTCGGTATGTTTGCCTATCCAGATAGTAGTTGCTGTCTGTGGGTTTCTAGTTACGTGTGTAAAGTAACTGCAGCACTCACCTCCTCCAGCTCTTTAGCCTTGGTACACAAACTGGTGATCTCGCAGTTGGCTCGACCCAGGCGCTGCTCCGCTTGCTCCAGCTCTGATTCCTTGTCACTCAACGAGTGTTGGTAGCGGCAACATTTCTCCTCGCACTCGGCAATCTGTCCACACAACAGTTGAGTCACCCGTCACATTATGTTCCCTGTCATGCTGGTGTCGGTCCACACAACAGTTAAGTCACTCGTCACATTATGTTCCCTGTCGTGTTGGCGGTCGGTCCACACAACAGTTAAGTCACTCGTCACATTATGTTCCCTGTCATGCTGGCGGTCGGTCCACACAACAGTTGAGTCACTCGTCACATTATGTTCCCTGTCATGCTGGCGGTCGGGCCACACAACAGTTAAGTCACTCGTCACATTATGTTCCCTGTCATGTTGGTGGTCGGTCCACACAACAGTTAAGTCACTCGTCACATTATGTTCCCTGTCATGTTGGGTGGTCGGTCCACACACATTATGTTCAACACAACAGTTAAGTCACTCGTCACATATGTTCCCTGTCATGTTCCCTGTCCACACAACAGTGTTGGCGGTAGGTCATGCACACAACAGTTGAGTCACTCGTCACATTATGTTCCCTGTCATGCTGGCGGTCGGTCCACACAACAGTTGAGTCACTCGTCACATTATGTTCCCTGTCATGCTGGCGGTCGGTCCACACAACAGTTGAGTCACTCGTCACATTATGTTCCCTGTCATGCTGGCGGTCGGGCCACACAACAGTTGAGTCACTCGTCACATTATGTTCCCTGTCATGTTGGCGGTCGGGCCACACAACAGTTGAGTCACTCGTCACATTATGTTCCCTGTCATGTTGGCGGTCGGTCCACACAACACTTGAGTCACTCGTCACATTATGTTCCCTGTCATGTTAGCGGTCGGTCCACACAACAGTTGAGTCACTCGTCACATTATGTTTCCTGTCATGTTGGCGGTCGGTCCACACAACAGTGACTGACATGTTCATTGTCGTGTAGGCCGTCTATCGTGGTTGTCACGTTATGTTTCTCATGACATCAACTAAACCTCTAGATTCTAAAGATTGGACACCCAGACGATGTGGATAAAGACATCTGTTTATGTGCAAAGGCCCTTCTTCTTCTTCTGCCTTTCTATCAACCAATGGAGCATACGCCCTCAACCAACTCACGCCAAGTCGTTCTATCCTTCGCCATTGCATGGAGCTCTCCCCATGTCCTCCCAATTTTTCTAACCTCATTCTCCAGCTCTCTTCTCCATGACGTTTCCTTTATTCCTATGCCCCTAATGCAAAGACATTCTAGTTTATGCTGTTCTCCTGTTTTCTCAGTGTGTGCCCTATCCAACGCCAGCGTCTTTTCCTCACCTCCTGATCCAGTGGAGCCTGTTTAGTTCTCTCCCAAAGTTCTACATTAGTTATTCTATCATAACATTTTATTGCAAAGGCCCTAAGCGGGGAATACTATCCAACTCTCTGTAATTCTTCTTCTTCTCAAAGTGATCTATGGCGATGGTTGTCATGTCTATCCACAACCTTCTGAATCGCGTACTTTCAATCAACTCTGACACAGATGATCTTCCATGCCATGATGTCAAACTGTCCAGCATCTGTTCTCTCGGTCTCCCTCTGCCCCCCCCCCCCCCAACCCCACCCTAACTTTCCTACTGTCACGATGTACTCCAGTTTTCCCCTTCTCATCACATGACGAAACAATGTAGATCGTCTCTTTCTGATGTGGGCAATCAGTTCTTTTCGTGAGTCAGTTTCTTTCAAGACATCTTCATTTCTCGTTTTATCTGTCCGAGGTATTCTCATGGTTTGTCTATAAAACCACATTTCCGCAGCCCCCAAAAAAGTTTTCATTAATTTAATAACTGTCAGTGATTCACATCCGTATATGAATATAGGATTTATACAGTTTTTAAAAATTATCTTTCACGTCTGAATTGACACAAAAAGATTGCATTAAATATTTTTTATTTTGTAAAATTCTGCCTTTGCTTGAGCTATTCGACATTTAACTTCCTTAATACATCTTCAATCTAATGTTATCAAGGTACCCAAGTACTTGACAGTAACTAAAGGTTCTAGAAGACAGTAACTAAAGGTTCTAGAAGACAGTAACTAAAGGTTCTAGAAGACAGTAACTAAAGGTTCTAGAAGGCAGTAACTAAAGGTTCTAGAAGACAGTAACTAAAGGTTCTAGAAGGCAGTAACTAAAGGTTCTAGAAGGCAGTAACTAAAGGTTCTAGAAGACAGTAACTAAAGGTTCTAGAAGACAGTAACTAACGGTTCTAGAAGACAGTAACTAAAGGTTCTAGAAGACAGTAACTAAAGGTTCTAGAAGGCAGTAACTAAAGGTTCTAGAAGGCAGTAACTAAAGGTTCTAGAAGGCAGTAACTAAAGGTTCTAGAAGACAGTAACTAAAGGTTCTACTAGACATGACATGTCCTAAAGGTTCTAGAAGACAGTAACTAAATGTTCGGTTCTAGAAGACATGTCAACTTGCTTGGGTTTTGTCCCATTGACTTTGAAATTGCATTCTGGGGGGTCAGTTGTCTGTGTAATGACCATAACTTCAGTGTTTTCTGCTGTTCAAACTGAGACCCTTGTTATCACTTTCTGTTACAATTCTATCCAACATTTTTTGCAGTAGTGTTTTATTTTCAGCGATAACAGGATATTGTCAGCACATCACAGGTTGTTAACAATATGCCCACCAACCGATATTCCTGTCCTACCATGTATAGATCTATTTATTACTTCACTGTACACTTTGAATAAATCGTGTCATAGTACACAACTCAACTCAATACGTGTTGTCTATACAATTATCTTTTAAAAAAAGTTGGAAAGATAGGACAAAGGCAAACAAATCAATAATAGATGAAAAAGGTGACAACACTGGTAGATGTCACAGAAGCCAAAAGTCCGAAGAAGACACAAGTATCCCCAGGACCTACCATATGTGTCTTTTCTTTGATTTCTCGCTCGTATTTCTGTAGTTGTTCATCCACGCGTCGCATCCGGTTTTCCATGTCGTGTTCTGCGTGCTCGATCGTCCGCTCCAGGTCACCGATCTGTGCAGACATGAAGGTCACTGAATGTGTGTGCGTGTGTGCGTGTGAGTATGTATGTGTTAGTATGTGTGTGAGTGTGTGTGTGAGTGTGTGTGAGTAGACAGTTGACATCACTGCACTAGGAACATTCTCATACCTGCTCCGTCCCCTTCTTCAGTAGCCAACGACGAGAGTCAATATGCTAATAAAACCAGTTACTAACCTGACCAAATGCCTGTTTTCTCCTTCAGTGTTGAATATCTTCCTGAGAGAGAGAGAGAGAGAGAGAGAGAGAGAGAGAGAGAGAGAGAGAGAGAGAGACAGAGAGACAGAGAGAGACAGAGATGGATAGATGGAGGAAGAGAGACAGATGGACAGACAGAGCAGAGGTGTAGATTAGAGCATGTAGATATGTAGATCACAGAGCTTAGATATGAGGTCCCAGACTGTAGATATGTAGATCACAGAGCTTAGATATGAGATCACAGAGTGTAGATATGTAGATCACAGAGCTTAGATATGAGGTCCCAGAGTGTAGATATGTAGATCACAGAGCTTAGATATGAGGTCCCAGGGTGTAGATATGTAGATCACAGAGCTTATATATGAGGTCCCAGATTGTAGATATGTAGATCACAGAGCTTAGATATGAGGTCCCAGACTGTAGATATGTAGATCACAGAGCTTAGATATGAGGTCCCAGATTGTAGATATGTAGATCACAGAGCTTAGATATGAGGTGCCAGAGTGTAGATATTTAGATCACAGAGCTTAGATATGAGGTCCCAGATTGTAGATATGTAGATCACAGAGCTTAGATATGAGGTCCCAGATTGTAGATATGTAGATCACATAGCTTATATATGAGGTCCCAGATTGTAGATATGTAGATCACATAGCTTATAGATTGTAGATAGTAGATCACAGAGATTAGATATGAGCTTAGATATGAGGTCAGGGTGTAGATATGTAGATCACAGAGCTTAGATATGAGGTCCCAGATTGTAGATATGTAGATCACAGAGCTTAGATATGAGGTCCCAGGGTGTAGATATGTAGATCACAGAGCTTAGATATGAGGTCCCAGATTGTAGATATGTAGATCACAGAGCTTAGATATGAGGTCCCAGAGTGTAGATATGTAGATCACAGAGCTTAGATATGAGGTCCCAGAGTGTAGATATGTAGATCACAGAGCTTAGATATGAGGTCACAGAGTGTAGATATGTAGATCACAGAGCTTAGATATGAGGTCCCAGAGTGTAGATATGTAGATCACAGAGCTTAGATATGAGGTCACAGAGTTTAGATATGTAGATCACAGAGCTTAGATATGAGGTCACAGAGTGTAGATATGTAGATCACAGAGCTTAGATATGAGGTCCTAGAGTGTAGATATGTAGATCACAGAGCTTAGATATGAGGTCCTAGAGTGTAGATATGTAGATCACAGAGCTTAGATTCGAGATCTAGATTGGAGACTTGTTGATCATATAACTTAGATATGAGGTCCTAGCTCGGGGATTCATACACGATAACAATGACGGACGTCTATGTCACACTCCATGGAAATTTACAGAACATACACAAGGGACAGAATAGTTGGAGGACACGGGTAAGGAGTATTGTCTGGATTTTTTCCGCTGGGAAACGTCGGTGGGTTGGGAAATGAACAGGCGGACAGACTGGCTGGCACTGCACAACTTGGAGGAATAATGATGCATGAAAAACAGACGTGGTTAGTGCCTTGTGGGAGAGAGTGTACAGTTGGGTGGAGCAGATAGATCACCACAGTGGAGTGAGATTGCTGCAGGGGAGAGTGACGAGAGGTTCTGGCAGATGCTCGAGGCTCCGAGGAAAGGCAAGACGGACGTTTAATCAGAATGCTACTGGCACCTATTAGTATCGGATCTCTACACTGGCTGCTGAAGATGGGGACGGAGCGCTCATGGGAATGCCCCGAGTGCTGTGATGTCGGTTCTTGAATCAACTCAACTCAGAATGGTTGGTCCACGTCATGAAGTGGTCAAACCGTTTGCCTCACGCAATCAAGGTCATGGGTTCGTACCGTCCGTTTTTAAGGCGGGGCAATTCGGTTCACGCGTGCAATTTTTAAGAGATCATTGGGGATCGTTGTAAGGAGCTACGGAGTTCCTGCTTTGTGCAACGCTTTCGTCAAACGGTTAACCATTTTGTGAACATAGACAGAGCTATGTGAGATAATATCAGGTGCAATAAAGTCGAATCTCTTAACTTTAACCTTTAACTTCAATACGAGGAACATGCAACAAACTAAAAGAAGAAGAGAATATGACGTATCAAACTTTAGTTAGAAAAAAGGTGAATGAAACCATTTCCATATGACAATGTCGGTTAGGTTCACATTAATCTCCCCAAATAGAGTAGGTTACTTTTCATTCACAAGTTTGTTGCGCTGGTCGATTTGCTGAAGGTTACGGGTGTGTCCCGCTCTGTTGTTTGCTTTCTGTGATGTCTTGCATTTACGTTTCCATTCTGAGAAAGAGAATGCCTGTGACATAGGTTTCAGCACTCTTTAGGGGTTTGTGTTAGACCCAGTTTCACCATGTTTTCGGAGTGTTAAAAGCTATGGCGTGCTGAAATATACCACATGCGATATCAACGGCATTGCGGAACACCCCCGAAACATTGTGCCGAGGTGACAGGTTCTGTAACTACCAATCAGAAGTGGGCTAGTGTGTATATGGGCGGGGCCTGGGGAGACCACCGTTAATTTTACCGGTAATGTCTTGTAGCTGCTGTATTACACGGGCGACCATGCGCGCATACTTAGGTTCTGACAAAGTGTGTTTGAAATCTGCACACTCACCAGGGAATGTTTTTCACAAATCTGTCGTCTGGCCTCCTCTAACTCACAGTTCAATCGTTTGATCTCTGCCGCCATGTTCTCCATCTCATTGATGGCCCACCTGGAACAGATCAAACACCAAACCTGGCGCCTAGCCTCGTCACTGAGTGTCATCTTCGCTGTTTTAGTGTCCATACAACTGACAGTGTCTAATTGTAACTGTCGTGATGTAATTAGTACTGGTATCATGTAACTTGTACTGTCTTGATGTCATTAGTACTGGTATCGTGTCACTTGTACTGTCGTGATGTCATTAGTACTGGTATCGTGTCACTTGTACTGTCGTGATGTAATTAGTACTGGTATCGTGTCACTTGTACTGTCGTGATGTAATTAGTACTGGTATCATGTAACTTGTACTGTCGTGATGTCATTAGTACTGGTATCATGTAACTTGTACTGTCGTGATGTCATTAGTACTGGTATCATGTCACTTGTACTGTCGTGATGTCATTGTAACATGTATCATGTCACTTGTACTGTCGTGATGTCATTAGTACTTCTATGATGTAATTATAAAGTTGATATGCTTCTAAGTTGCAATGCTTATAAGTTGCTACATCTTCTTCCTCCGCCCTTTGCCTCCTACGGGAAGAAGAAGAACGGGGAGGAGGAGAAGGATGGGGAGGAGGAGAAGGATGGGGAGGAGGAGAAGGATGGGGAGGAGAAGAAGGATGGGGAGAAGGAGAAGGATGGGGAGGAGGAGAAGGATGGGGAGGAGGAGAAGGATGGGGAGGAGGAGAAGGATGGGGAGAAGGAGAAGGATGGGGAGGAGAAGAAGGATGGGGAGAAGAAGAAGGATGGGGAGGAGGAGAAGGAAGGGGAGGAGGAGAAGGATGATGGGATGAAGGAGGAAATGATAGTCAATGGGGAGAAGGAGAAGGATGGGGAGGAGGAGAAGGATGGGGAGAAGGAGCTCCACCTCGATGGGGAGGAGGAGAAGGATGGGGAGGAGGAGAAGGATGGGAGGAGGGAGAAGGATGGGGAGGAGGAGAAGGATGGGGAGAAGGAGAAGGATGGGGAGGAGGAGAAGGATGGGGAGGAGGAGAAGGATGGGGAGGAGGAGAAGGATGGGGAGGAGAAGAAGGATGGGGAGGAGGAGAAGGATGGGGAGGAGGCGGACCAAGAAAAGAAAGAAGATGATGATGATTATGACGACAACCAAGGTCATGGAAATGATAGGCAAATGTTCACTAGTATTAGCACACGTGACGTCACTGACTCCAGTTTGCGGCGACACTCCTCCAGCTCCACCTCGACCTTCTTCAGCTTCTCCCGACATGCCCTCAGCTGTGACTGGATGTCTGACGAGTCCGTGGCCTCTCCCGTCGTCTGTGGGCAATCACATCAAAACATGGACAATCACATCAAAACATGGACAGCAACATCAAAACATGGACAATCACATCAAAACATGGACAATAACACCAAAACATGGGCAATCACATCAAAACATGGACAATCACATCAAAACATGGACAATCACATCAAAACATAGGCATCACATCAAAACATGGACAATCACATCAAAACATGGACAATCACATCAAAACATGGACAATCACATCAAAACATGGACAATCACATCAAAACATGGACAATCACATCAAAACATGGACAATCACATCAAAACATGGACAATCACATCAAAACATGGGCAATCACATCAAAACATGGACAGTCACACCAAAACATGGACAGTCACATCAAAACATGGACAGTCACATCAAAACATGGGCAATCACATCAAAACATGGACAATGACATCAAAACATGGACAATGACATCAAAACATGGACAATGACATCAAAACATGGACAATGACATCAAAACATGGGCAGTCACATCAAAACATGGACAATGACATCAAAACATGGGCAGTCACATTAAAACATGGATAATCACATCAAAACATGGACAATCACATCAAAACATGGACAATCACATCAAAACATGGACAGTCACATCAAAACATGGACAATCACATCAAAACATGGACAATCACATCAAAACATGGACAATCACATCAAAACATGCGCAATCACATCAAAACATGCGCAATCACATTTTCTTCAACAAACGTCTTCTTCATTTTCTTGAAATCCCGCTTTGCCTTTCAGGGTCACATTTTGAAGAGGCTTTGGTATGAACCTTGATATGTCTTACATAAATGCTAGATTCACGACCTCAGATACACCATCTACTCGTGGCTCGTGTCAGCGACATCTAAATCTACCTAGCTTGTGTTTTCGACAAACAGACGTACAACAAAGCAATCAACACGTGCATCATTAAGTCGTGGATCAGAGGGGTCTCCGTGGCCGAGTGGTCAAGTGGTAAAGCCGTTATCCTCGCTCTCTGAAGGTTGTGGGTTCGTTCTGCGGCTGCAATCACGGGTGCAATTTTTTTAGAGATCCATGGGGATCGTCACCGAAGCTACGGAGTTCGTGCTCTGAATGGCGCCCTCGGCAGGCGACTGGCTGTTCTACGGAGAGAGACCGGGTCATATGGAATAAAACCCAGTGCAATGTTGTCGATCTTCTGGACCTAACCTTATTTTTTCTTCTTGATTCTAAGACAAGACGTTACCACACTACAGGCAAACCTATAGTTGTTCAGGCTCCTTAAAACACCAACAGATGTAATGTTCTGGCACCCAAGAGACTGATCTCCTGCGACGTGTCGGGTTCGACTCAAGGGATAATATGATTTGACAAGCAAAGCTCTGAGACACCTTCGTAAATTCTGTGAGCACTGAAGATTTGGCTGAACCTTTGAACATCAAGGCATACAGAGAGCCCCCCCCCCCCCCCCCCCCTTACAATTCACATAGGACGGTTTATGTACTAATGCTATGATGAAAGCAGCAAGATGATCAGTTCCTTGGTCGCAAGCAGAAGACAACAAGTGGGCAGAGATACCCATATCTCCGAGCTGAAGCCGGCGAGTCAAGTCCCTAGCCAAGGAAAATGTGTAAGCAGCCACCTTAATTATGCATAGAAGTTACCTACCTGTTGAACTGTTTGTTTTTATACATGTCATATGTTTTTATACATGTCATGTTTTTATGCATGTCATATGTTTTATACATTTCATGTTTGTATACATGTCATATGTTTTTATACATGTCATATGTTTTTATACATGTCATAGGTTAAAAAAAAATAATATTAAATTATTTGCCATTCAGCACGTGATGTTTTATTATTACGCACAGCTTTACAAACTTTGAGGCATCATAGAACATTGGTAAAGAAGGCTGAATTTCCGTTACTCTACCACCCCCCCCCCCCCCCTCTCACTCCCATCTCCTTCACCCCATTCTTCAATCTCATCCTCACTCTTTACCCCCCCCCCCCCCAACACATCCCTCACTCTCATCCTCATTCTTCACACAAACCTTCTCCCCCATCCCTCCCCTCCCCCATCCCTTCCCTCCCACCCCAGGACCATACCGGCTCCCTCCTCCGATGCTTTCTTTGTGTCAGCACACCTCTTCTACAGAATCACGTCGGAGACAATAAACCTCTATTCTCTGTTGGATGGAATATGAGTGAGTCGAATTCAATGTAGAATATGAGTCGAAGTCAAGGTGGAATATGAGTCGAAGTCAAGGTGGAATATGAGTCGAAGTCAAGGTGGAATATGAGTCGAAGTCAATGTGGAATATGAGTCGATGTCAAGATGGAATATGAGTCGAAGTCAATGTGTAATAATACGGCAGGTGGAGCTTACGTTGAGTAGACGGATGGTGGCGTTCATTTCATCCACACAACATCGGCATTGCTCCAGCTCGTCCTCCTTCATGCACAGGGCAGCCTCCAGCTCCTTGACTTGAGCAGAAGACAAATAGTTATCTAAACAACCAGATTCTGTGTAATCCATCTGCTTTATTTGTTGAATACGTAAAGTTGGTTCTGGGTGGCTATGGGATATTTATGATTGTCAATTGCTGGTGTTTATTTATTATTGAATCGAGGATGTGTTCAGATTGGGGGGGGGGGCTGGTTCTTGCAGGTCAGCCCTGTCTTATGTTTATTTATTATTGAATCGAGGACGGGTTGAGGGCTGGTCCGTGCAGGTCAGCACTGGCTGGGGTCACCCTTATGGCTGCCAAAATGATAACTTTCCTGGAGATTGAGCGGAACCTGCCTGGTTGGTTTGTCTCCAGCTTGAAGTTTGTTTTGAAATCTCAGGAGGCTATTGTAAACCTGTAGGTAGCAGCCCGGGGGAGACAAACTGATTGATTAGATCGATGGCTTTGGACAAGAATTAAGAAGTGAAGAAAAGACAACAGCGTCGCATAGGACACCTATTACGAGATCAATGTAATCTATGTGTTGTATGCTGGAAACCATAGGGCTAGAGAAATGAAGGTAGACAACAAGAATAGGGCTAGAGAAATGAAGGTAGACAACAAGAATAGGGCTAGAGAAATGAAGGTAGACAACAAGAATAGGGCTAGAGAAATGAGGTAGACAACCTAGAGAAATGAAGATAGACAACAAGAATAGGGCTAGAGAAATGAAGGTAGACAACAAGAATAGGGCTAGAGAAATGAAGGTAGACAACAAGAATAGGGCTAGAGAAATGAAGGTAGACAACAAGAATAGGGCTAGAGAAATGAAGGTAGACAACAAGAATAGGGCTAGAGAAATGAAGGTAGACAACAAGAATAGGGCTAGAGAAATGAAGGTAGACAAAGAATAGGGCTAGAGAAATGAGGTAGACAACAGAATAGGGCTAGAGAAATGAAGGTAGACAACAAGAATAGGGCTAGAGAAATGAAGGTAGACAACAAGAATAGGGCTAGAGAAATGAAGGTAGACAACAAGAATAGGGCTAGAGAAATAAAGGTAGACAACAAGAATAGGGCTAGAGAAATAAAGGTAGACAACAAGAATAGGGCTAGAGAAATGAAGGTAGACAACAAGAATAGGGCTAGAGAAATGAAGGTAGACAACAAGAATAGGGCTAGAGAAATAAAGGTAGACAACAAGAATAGGGCTAGAGAAATGAAGGTAGACAACAAGAATAGGGCTAGAGAAATGAAGGTAGACAACAAGAATAGGGCTAGAGAAATGAAGGTAGACAACAAGAATAGGGCTAGAGAAATAAAGGTAGACAACAAGAATAGGGCTAGAGAAATGATGGTAGACAACAAGAATAGGGCTAGAGAAATGAAGGTAGACAACAAGAATAGGGCTAGAGAAATGAAGGTAGACAACAAGAATAGGGCTAGAGAAATGAAGGTAGACAAACAAGAATAGGGCTAGAGAAATGAAGGTAGACAACAAGAATAGGGCTAGAGAAATGAAGGTAGACAACAAGAATAGGGCTAGAGAAATGAAGGTAGACAACAAGAATAGGGCTAGAGAAATGAAGGTAGACAACAAGAATAGGGCTAGAGAAATGAAGGTAGACAAAAAGAATAGGGCTAGAGAAATGAAGGTAGACAACAAGAATAGGGCTAGAGAAATGAAGGTAGACAACAAGAATAGGGCTAGAGAAATGAAGGTAGACAACAAGAATAGGGCTAGAGAAATGAAGGTAGACAACAAGAATAGGGCTAGAGAAATGAAGGTAGACAACAAGAATAGGCTAGAGAAATAAAGGTAGACAACAAGAATAGGGCTAGAGAAATGAAGGTAGACAACAAGAATAGGGCTAGAGAAATGAAGGTAGACAACAAGAATAGGCTAGAGAAATGAAGGTAGACAACAAGAATAGGGCTAGAGAAATGAAGGTAGACAACAAGAATAGGGCTAGAGAAATGAAGGGCAACAAGAATAGGGCTAGAGAAATGAAGGTAGACAACAAGAATAGGGCTAGAGAAATGAAGGTAGACAACAAGAATAGGGCTAGAGAAATGAAGGTAGACAACAAGAATAGGGCTAGAGAAATGAAGGTAGACAACAAGAATAGGGCTAGAGAAATGAAGGTAGACAACAAGAATTGGGCTAGAGAAATGAAGGTAGACAACAAGAATAGGGCTAGAGAAATGAAGGTAGACAACAAGAATAGGGCTAGAGAAATGAAGGTAGACAACAAGAATAGGGCTAGAGAAATGAAGGTAGACAACAAGAATAGGGCTAGAGAAATGAAGGTAGACAACAAGAATAGGGCTAGAGAAATGAAGGTAGACAACAAGAATAGGGCTAGAGAATGAAGGTAGACAACAAGAATAGGGCTAGAGAAATGAAGGTAGACACAACAGAATAGGGCTAGAGAAATGAAGGTAGACAACAAGAATAGGGCTAGAGAAAATGAAGGAGACAACAAGAATAGGGCTAGAGAAATGAAGGTAGACAACAAGAATAGGGCTAGAGAAATGAAGGTAGACAACAAGAATAGGGCTAGAGAAATGAAGGTAGACAACAAGAATAGGGCTAGAGAAATGAAGGTAGACAACAAGAAATATGGAGAAGGGAGTTAGAGTGTAAAGTTTTTTTCTTTTTCTTGTAAATATCCAGAAGCCATCAGTTGTTGACCCTTTGGCTCGGTACTATGGATATCGCAACCCTTCGGCCTTGATTCCATGATAGGTGCCGTAAATTTGGGAAAAATGTGGCTTTTCTGCCTACACCCGGGCGTGAACCCGGACCACAAGAAGTTCGTAAAAGTTAAAAAGGGAGGATATGGGATGAAGGATAGATAGTCTTGGCGTCAGCTGGCTGTGGGCCTATGCTCCATTGGGATATAAATGTTAGAAGAAGAAATAAACTTGTAACAGACTGTAAAAGTACAGACTGTTAAGTTTATCATTTACATGTGCATCTTCAGTCTACTTCTGAAAAATTATGATAATCACATTGCGCAATTTATGGTTTAGAAATACTGAAAGTGATCTGTGGTACCATTAGTCTGCCTTCAGTTACATTGGCATCTCATGTACAAACTGTTGTTGTTGTTATGGGTGGTGTTGGATCCTTGTCTGTATCTCTCTAGAGTTCTCTAGTGAGTCCTTTGGCAGATTTTTGGCAGTTTAGTCAATTGTGTTAAATATTATTTTGTTTCTGACACTGAGCTCATGTTTTTCCTGCTCTAGTGAGACAAGCAACTCCAAGCTAGGGTCCCAGTTATTGTTTTTATTGCGAATGTTTTTATTTCACTGGTTATTTGCCATTATGAACCAATCAACAGTACCAACAGTGCATACAATGCTGGAGCACTCAGACAGTCCCAAACCACATTCTCCCTCATTCCGAAAAAAAGGCAGAAAAGTGTTCTCTCTCTCTCTCTTAACTTTGTCTTTGTCTGGCTCTCCCTGTCAGCTGTGTTGAGATGAGAAGTCCAGAAGCCCCTATAGAGGCTGTGGAGCGACGTTGGCTCTCCCTGTCAGCTGTGTTGAGATGAGAAGTCCAGAAGCCCCTATAGAGGCTGTGGAGCGACGTTGGTGCTCGGCTGATCCAGAAAGCTAAGTTTCTACGGGAATACCAGCCAGCCAGACTTGAGACTTCTTGACTTCCTGTAGGTGAGCAGGTCTGAAGCACATGGAACGGCTGTCATTGCCAGGGAATGTTCTCTGTGTTATTGTCCGTGTTAATTATTCCATCTTCTGTTATCATTGGCTCTAATTCAAATATCCTCAGCTCAAATAAAGCAAACATGAGATGGCAATCCTAGATGTGCACAAATATCCTCAGTTCAAATAAAGCAAACATGAGATGGCAATCCTAGATGTGCACAAATATCCTCAGTTCAAATAAAGCAAACATGAGATGGCAATCCTAGATGTGCACAAATATCCTCAGTTCAAATAAAGCAAACATGAGATGGCAATCCTAGATGTGCACAAATATCCTCAGCTCAAATAAAGCAAACATGAGATGGCAATCCTAGATGTGCACAAATATCCTCAGCTCAAATAAAGCAAACATGAGATGGCAATCCTAGATGTGCACAAATATCCTCAGTTCAAATAAAGCAAACATGAGATGGCAATCCTAAATGTGCACAAATATCCTCAGTTAAAATAAAGCAAACATGAGATGTCAATCCTAGATGTGCACAAATATTCTCAGTTCAAATAAAGCAAACATAAGATGGCAATCCTAAATGTGCACAAATATCCTCAGTTAAAATAAAGCAAACATGAGATGTCAATCCTAGATGTGCACAAATATTCTCAGTTCAAATAAAGCAAACATAAGATGGCAATCCTAAATGTGCACAAATATCCTCAGTTGAAATAAAGCAAACATGAGATGGCAATCCTAAATGTGCACAAATATCCTCAGTTGAAATAAAGCAAACATAAGATGGCAATCCTAAATGTGCACAAATATCCTCAGTTGAAATAAAGCAAACATAAGATGGAAATCCTAAATGTGCACAAATATCCTCAGTTGAAATAAAGCAAACTTGAGATGGCAATCCTAAATGTGCACAAATATCCTCAGTTGAAATAAAGCAAACATGAGATGGCAATCCTAAATGTGCACTAATATCCTCAGTTGAAATAAAGCAAACTTAAGATGGCAATCCTAAATGTGCACAAATATCCTCAGTTGAAATAAAGCAAACATAAGATGGCAATCCTAAATGTGCACTAATATCCTCAGTTGAAATAAAGCAAACTTGAGATGGCAATCCTTAATGTGCACAAATATCCTCAGTTAAAATAAAGCAAACTTGAGATGGCAATCCTAAATGTGCACTAATATCCTCAGTTGAAATAAAGCAAACATAAGATGGCAATCCTAAATGTGCACTAATATCCTCAGTTGAAATAAAGCAAACATAAGATGGCAATCCTAAATGTGCACTAATATCCTCAGTTGAAATAAAGCAAACATAAGATGGCAATCCTAAATGTGCACAAATATCCTCAGTTGAAATAAAGCAAACTTGAGATGGCAATCCTAAATGTGCACTAATATCCTCAGTTGAAATAAAGCAAACATGAGATGGCAATCCTAAATGTGCACTAATATCCTCAGTTGAAATAAAGCAAACTTGAGATGGCAATCATAAATGTGCACTAATATCCTCAGTTAAAATAAAGCAAACATAAGATGGCAATCCTAAATGTGCACAAATATCCTCAGTTGAAATAAAGCAAACTTGAGATGGCAATCCTAAATGTGCACTAATATCCTCAGTTGAAATAAAGCAAACATAAGATGGCAATCCTAAATGTGCACAAATATCCTCAGTTGAAATAAAGCAAACATAAGATGGCAATCCTAAATGTGCACAAATATCCTCAGTTGAAATAAAGCAAACATAAGATGGCAATCCTAAATGTGCACAAATATCCTCAGTTGAAATAAAGCAAACATGAGATGGCAATCCTAAATGTGCACAAATATGCTCAGTTGAAATAAAGCAAACAGGAGATGGCAATCCTAGATGTGCAGAAATATCCTCAGCTCAAATAAAGCAAACATGAGATGGCAATCCTAAATGTGCACAAATATCCTCAGTTGAAATAGAGCAAACATGAGATGGCAATCCTTAACGTGCACATATATCCTCAGCTCAAATAAAGCAAACATGAGATGGCAATCCTAAATGTGCACAAATATCCTCAGTTGAAATAAAGCAAACATAAGATGGCAATCCTAAATGTGCACAAATATCCTCAGTTGAAATAAAGCAAACATGAGATGGCAATCCTAAATGTGCACCAATATCCTCAGTTGAAATAAAGCAAACATGAGATGGCAATCCTTAATGTGCACAAATATCCTCAGTGGAAATAAAGCAAACATGAGATGGCAATCCTAAATGTGCACAAATATCCTCAGTTGAAATAAAGCAAACATGAGATGGCAATCGGAGATATGCACTCAAATACCCAGGGGCAGACAACTTACTGCACTTAACCTTCTGTTGCAGCAAGCGACAGATCTCCTTGTTGTCGTTCTCCAGGTTCACCGCTCGATCCTGGTGCCGGTCGCTCTCCAGCTTCTCGCTCTGGAGCTCTCGCGACAACAGGTTGATCTCTGAAGTCAGGTTGTGCATCTCTTCTTCCTTCTCCCTGCCAGAAAGCACAGCCACATACGTCAGCACAGGCCAGAGAAATAAATGCAGCCATGTTCCCATAAGTCATTTTCATATTTGGAGAACAGAAATAATGTAAATCTAAAGCAAAGGTCCCTTTTCCCCGCCTTTGAGCGTAATGGAATGATCAAATTAATTATATTTGCCGTCCTTTTTTGAAGTATCACCATGAGCCGCAATATAGCCAGGCCATGAATACGGTCTAATGGCTGAACGCGGTTTCTGGGACCTCTCCACGGTGATCCTCAACCGCATGATGGCACTTTGTGCCATCGGGTGTTTATCGCTTGTGTGATGTCCTGGTGGGGTAGAAAGTCAGTCAGTCAGTCAAGCGTAATGGGCTTCTAGGAATAGACTTGTATTTTATACACCAATCGACGCTTGGTTGGTGATGAAGTCAACATCACACCGACCACCTTTGCTTCTCAAGACCTTAACTGGCATCCATTTAAGGCTAGGGCTACCTGGCAGCTAAGGTCATCGGAAACTGAACCTACGACCTACGGATCGGCAAGCGAACATCTAACCACTACACCATGGCGGCACCCAGTGTCAATGTTGTAGAAGGCTGGAAGGTGATAGATGTGGAACAGACACCTCGTGGGCTAGGGCTGGAAGGTGATAGATGTGGGACAGACACCTCGTGGGCTAGGGCTGGAAGGTGATAGATGTGGAACAGACACCTCGTGGGCTAGGGCTGGAAGGTGATAGATGTGGAACAGACACCTCGTGGGCTAGGGCTGGAAGGTGATAGATGTGGGATAGACACCTCGTGGGCTAGGGCTGGAAGGTGATAGATGTGGGACAGACACCTCGTGGGCTAGGGCTGGAAGGTGATAGATGTGGGACAGACACCTCGTGGGCTAGAGCTGGAAGGTGATAGGTGTGGGACAGACACCTCGTGGGCTAGAGCTGGAAGGTAATAGATGTGGGACAGACACCTCGTGGGCCTAGAAATACTTAAAAATAATCAGTGTAAACGGACATGAAACTTAGAACCACAGAAACAAGTGGACACGACAACTTTGGGTATAGATGTGACCATAGGCCTAAAAAATTAACTTAGGACCACATCAACGTGGACAGACAACGTGGACAGACAACGTAGACAGACAACGTGGACAGACAACGTAGACAGACAACGTAAACAAACAACGTGGACAGACAACGTGGACAGACAACGTAGACAGACAACGTAGACAGACAACGTAGCCAGACAACGTAGACAGACAACGTGGACAGACAAAATAGCCAGACAACGTAGACAGACAACGTAGCCAGACAACGTAGACAGACAACGTGGGCAGACAATGTGGACAAACACGGTGGACAGCCCTTCAAACTAATGACCTTGTATCCCAGAAGAAGACCTGGTCTTTATTCCCATTCTTGTCCACGTTGACCGGATGTTAACTCAACGGAAACGTCTGTTTATTTCTGGACCTAAGTCTTTTCCCAGAACTTGAGTTTTGCATGCACATTCATTTTACAGGTGTGGTTTTTTTTTTGCAGACTGTTGGTCCTTCGCCTCTTAGCACATGCACTCAAAGTTTGGAAGAAATATACACAGTTAGTTGCCTTTTACAACATCCTTACTTGTTGCCAGTTGGTCTCTTCCATCTTCACACGACTCTTTTTTTTCACATAGTACTAAGGAACTCACACAATAAAGTTTTTATTGAAGGCAGTAATAATATTTAGTTATATTTATTTATACCTTCATTACTTTATATTTTAACATGCCTGTTGTGTATTTTAACGGTCTAACGAAATCCTTATGTCTGACTGAAGATTTTAACTAGGGCTTATGTTTGAAGAAAGGTTTATATTACAAGCATCCTGAACAATCATGCTAGGAAATATTTTCAGGGCAACAGGGTAGTAGGCGTGAACACTAACAGCAGCGACCAGCATAAACATAATCAATTTAAAAGGACATAAGTAACACCGAAGGGAAATGGTATAAAAACAGCACCAACATAGAACACGAACATTGCGCACGTAGGACATGAAAATGTTGAACGTAGAAGGACATCAAAATGATGGATGTAGAATATGCAAATGATGGACATCGAAGGACATGAAAATGATGGATGTAGAAGGACATCAAAATTATAGATGTAGGATATGCAAATGATGTACTTCGAAGGACATGAAAATGATGGATGTAGAATATGCAAATGATGGACTTGGAAGGACATGAAAATGATGGATGTAGAAGGACATCAAAATGATAGATGTAGAATATGCAAATGATGGACTTGGAAGGACATGAAAATGATGGATGTAGAAGGACATCAAAATGATAGATGTAGAATATGCAAATGATGGACTTCGAAGGACATCAAAATTATAGATGTAGGATATGCAAATGATGGACTTCGAAGGACATGAAAATGATGGATGTAGAAGGACATCAAAATGATAGATGTAGAATATGCAAATGATGGACTTGGAAGGACATGAAAATGATGGATGTAGAAGGACATCAAAATGATAGATGTAGAATATGCAAATGATGGACTTCGAAGGACATGAAAATGATGGATGTAGAAGGGCATGAAAATAATGGATGTAGAAGGACATCAAAATGATGGATGTAGAAGGGCATGAAAATAATGGATGTAGAAGGGCTTAAAAATGATGGATGTAGAAGGACATGAAAATAATGGATGTAGAAGGACATCAAAATGATGGATGTAGAAGGGCATGAAAATAATGGATGTAGAAGGACATGAAAATGTTGGATGTAGAAGGGCACAAGCAATACCAAGGTAGCAGACAAAGACAACGAACGTAGAACGAGCCGACTCACTGTAAACATCTCCTCAATCTCCGGTTCTCATTCTGGCACGTACACAAATCGTTGCAGCTCTGCGCCATCTTCCGCTCGAATTCCTCCAGTTCCTTGAGACTCTGGCACTTGTCCCGGTTGTTTTGGTACTCCATCTGCTGCACCTGGCCAGGGCGATATCAGCACAACCAGTCAGTATCAACTCCTTCGTGGGATGCCGAAGAGGGCTGTCTTAGAGTTGAGATGTTCGCTTCTAACTCAAGCAGACTTACTACCATTGACTATATAGCTATCAATCTTCACTAAATAAGAAATAAAGGATCAATTCTCTTATTCTCACAAACTTTTGAGTAGTGGATAAGACATCTAGTCTTTTCTGATAACGACAAAAAACGAGATGGTCCCTGTACACTTCGCACACGTTTAGAATCCCTTGGCTTTAGGGACTTGAAAAGTGCAGCTGGAATAGAACTTCAACTTAGTCAACCACTCACAAATATTGTATGTTTATCAGCATGTGTTATTAGGATGTGTACGCATGTAAGCGACTGACGCAGGCAGAAAGTTGGTGAACTGTGTTGAACTTATCCCGAACACTTGTGGTTGTGTCCAAGTACAGTGGATGGGCCTGGTCGTTTAGACACGACAGCAGTACGACTGTCAGTGATAGGCTGGTTACAAGAAGAAACGCTAGAACAAGTGACAAGCACCCAGTGATGTTGACAGGTCATCCACACAATGGGCTACTGAGCCAGGAACCAAAGGTGCAACAGGTAAGGTAACATTAAATAACTGTAGAAAGACTTTGCCTTAAAACAGATAAATAGTAATTTTACACGATTAAAAATGAAAAGTGTCAGCTCTGTGGCTAAGTCGATGCGAACGCTTCGTAATGCCGGGAGGCCAGATTCGATCGCAGCTGCTGGTCATGCGCCTTTCGTTGGTTTCGACAGTGGTATCAAGAAAGCCGACTGTCCAGAGAGCAAGGCAAACTTCTAGACGTAAATTTGCCTAGAAAAACCACAACAACCAGGGGCTGTTGAGGTTGGTTCTGCAACGTCCTGTAAAGGATACGCAACTAACCTAATAATGAAAAGTCACACACACACACACTACACACACACATGGACATACACACACATGCACATACACATACATACACACACACAATCATTACAAGTGTTTATTTGAAGTGGGAGTGAATCTGCCTACGAGGTGAGCAACCACGAGTCTGAAAACAGATAAGGGAGAAAGTAAAACGGATGTACACGCAAAACTTTGAAACAAGACACGCCCGAAAGTGTACAAACAACCAGAACTTTCCGTCGGAGTCTGCGTGAATAAGAGAAAGAAAAAAAATATGGTACAAGAAAACAGGACACCCGTGAACAAACAACATCAAACGCAACTTGTGTTGAGTCAACTGGTCTTGCAGGCAGGACACACAATGTAGCCACTGTTGACTCATCTTGTCGTTTAGACAGGACACACAATGTAGCCACTGTTGACTCATCTTGTCGTGTAGACAGGACACACAATGTAGCCACTGTTGACTCATCTTGTCGTGTAGACAGGACACACAATGTAGCCACTGTTGACTCATCTTGTCGTGTAGACAGGGCACACAATGTAGCCACTGTTGACTCATCTTGTCGTGTAGACAGGGCACACAATGTAGCCACTGTTGACTCATCTTGTTGTGTAGACAGGGCACACAATGTAGCCACTGTTGACTCATCTTGTCGTGTAGACAGGGCACACAATGTAGCCACTGTTGACTCATCTTGTCGTGTAGACAGGGCACACAATGTAGCCACTGTTGACTCATCTTGTCGTGTAGACAGGGCACACAATGTTGCCACTGTTGACTCATCTTGTCGTGTAGACAGGGCACACGATGTAGCCACTGTTGACTCATCTTGTCGTGTAGACAGGGCACACAATGTTGCCACTGTTGACTCATCTTGTCGTGTAGACAGGGCACACAATGTAGCCACTGTTGACTCATCTTGTCGTGTAGACAGGGCACACAATGTAGCCACTGTTGACTCATCTTGTCGTGTAGACAGGGCACACAATGTAGCCACTGTTGACTCATCTTGTCGTGTAGACAGGGCACACAATGTAGCCACTGTTGACTCATCTTGTCGTGTAGACAGGGCACACAATGTAGCCACTGTTGACTCATCTTGTCGTGTAGACAGGGCACACAATGTAGCCACTGTTGACTCATCTTGTCGTGTAGACAGGGCACACAATGTAGCCACTGTTGACTCATCTTGTCGTGTAGACAGGGCACACAATGTAGCCACTGTTGACTCATCTTGGTGTGTAGACAGGGCACACAATGTAGCCACTGTTGACTCATCTTGTCGTGTAGACAGGGCACACAGACGAATCATTTTCTGACCCACCTTTTTGTGTAGACAGGACAAACAAACAAACAAACAAACAAACAATCAAAGAGACAAATCATCTATAGATCCACCTTGTTTTGTAGACAGGACAAACACACAAACAAAGAGACAAATCGCCAGTAGATCCCCCTTATTGTGTAGACAGGACACACAAACAAACAATCAAACAAACAAAGAGACAAATCATCTATAGATCCACCTTGTTGTGTAGACAGGACAAACAAACAAACAAAGAGACAAAACATCAACAAATCATCAGTAGATCCCCCTTGTTGTGTAGACAGGACAACCAAACAAACAAAGAGACAAATATCTATAGATCCATCTTGTTGTGTAGACAGGACAAACAAACAAACAAAGAGACAAATCATCTATAGATCCATCTTGTTGTGTAGACAGGACAACCAAACAAACAAAGAGACAAATCATCTATAGATCCACCTTGTCGTGTAGATAGGACAAACAAACAAACAAACAAACAAAGAGACAAATCATCTATAGATCCACCTTGTCGTGTAGACAGGACAAACAAACAAACAAACAAAGAGACAAATCATCTATAGATCCACCTTGTCGTGTAGACAGGACAAACAAACAAACAAACAAACAAACAAAGAGACAAATCATCTATAGATCCACCTTGTCGTGTAGACAGGACAAACAAACAAACAAACAAACAACCAAACAAACAAAGAGACAAATCATCTATAGATCAACCTTGTTGTGTAGACAGGACATACAGACGAATCATCTGCTGACCCAAGACCCACCTTGTCGTGTAGACAAGACAAGCGACCGTCTGCCTCCTTGAGCTGGCAACATGCCTGGTTCAGTTTGGCCCGCAAGTCTGTGACAGTCCTCTCCAGCTGGCAGTTGTCCTCAGACTTGCACTTGAGGTCCTCGTACAGGCGCCGCAGATCCTCCTTCATCTGTTTGATCTGTGGACACAATCGCCAGGCTGTCTTCTATAAACAAAGAGATAGCAGTACTCACCAACAAGTGTCCAAACACTGCTGGTACTCGCCGCAAATGGCCGACAAAGTGCGCTGAGAAACACATGATGCATCAAACCGTGCCAGTACTGCGTACCCCCGCCCCGAAAAAGGCCCAGCTGGTGACGATGGTGCTTGTTGTTCATCTTCTGATGTCAGGCCCCCAGCCATACACCATCCACTCTCCTGTATCCTTGAATAGGTTAGTTAGTTGGTCGACAGAGTATCCCCATTGCACATCGAACCATTCAGTCTGTGGGTTCACGACTTCATGTGCCTTGCTTGTTGACCACACATAACTCACAGGCCACACACACCTCACAGACCACACACACCTCACAGACCACACACACCTCACAGACCACACATACCTCACAGACCACACATACCTCACAGACCACACATAACTCACAGACCACACATAACTCACAGACCACACATAACTCACAGGCCACACATAACTCACAGACCACACATAACTCACAGACCACACATAACTCACAGGCCACACATAACTCACAGACCACACACACCTCACAGACCACACTTAACTCACAGGCCACACACACCTCACAGACCACACATAACTCACAGGCCACACACACAGACCACACATACACAGACCACACATATCACATAACCCACATACTTTAAACCACACATAAAAGACCACACATACTCACAGACCACACATACCTCACAGACCACACATACTCACATACATCACGTACCTCACATACCCCACATACCTCACATACCCCACATACCTTACATACTCCACATACCTCACATACTCCACATACCTCACATACTCCACATACCTCACATACTCCACATACCTCACATACCCAACATACCCCACACACCTCACATACATCACATACCTCACATACCCCACATACCTCACATACTCCACATACCTCACATACCCCACATACCTCACATACTCCACATACCTCACATACCCAACATACCCCACACACCTCACATACCCCACATACCTCACATACCCCACATACCTCACATACTCCACATACCTCACATACCTCACATACTCCACATACCTCACATACTCCACATACCTCACATACCCAACATACCCCACACACCTCACATACATCACATACCTCACATACTCCACATACCTCACATACCCCACATACCTCACATACTCCACATACCTCACATACTCCACATACCTCACATACCTCACATACCTCACATACTCCACATACCTCACATACCCCACATACCTCACATACTCCACATACCTCACATACCCCACATACCTCACATACCCCACATACCTCACATACCCCTCACAGACCACACATACCTCACATACTCCACATACCTCACATACTCCACATACCTCACATACTCCACATAACACAACCACACATACTCCACATACCTCACATACCCAACATACCCCACACACACACCTCACATACATCACATACCTCACATACTCCACATACCTCACATACCCCACATACCTCACATACTCCACATACCTCACATACCCCACATACCTCACATACTCCACATACCTCACATACTCCACATACCTCACATACTCCACATACCTCACATACCCCACATGTCTCACATACCTCACACACACCACATACCTTACATATCCCACATAACTCACATACCCCACATACCCCACATACCTCACAGACCACACATACCCCACTGACCACACATACCTCACTGACCACACTGACCACACAGACCACACATACCACACATACCCCAATACCCCACTGACCCCACTGACCACACATACCCCACTGACCACACAGACCACACATACCCCATTGACCACACTGACCACACTGACCACACATACCCCACTGACCACACTGACCACACATACCCCACTGACCACACTGACCACACATACCCCATTGACCCCACAAACCAACCCCCACTTACGGCTGCCTCCTTCTGCTGAAGCTCACATGCGAAATCATTCCGGGCCTCCTCCAAGGCGGCCTCGCGGGCTTTCACTTCGTTCCTGCAGGCCATCAGACAGGACTCTTTCTGCTGCAGCTGCTCATGGTAGGTCAACACCTTGTCCTGCAGACAGTCCACCACCCGCTGGTTGGCCTTCTCCTTCTCCTTCAGCTCCTGCAGACGACAAACAACATCAGGTGGAAGGTGTGTTACAGAAGTCTCAGGTAGAGTAGCTCAAACAAGATCAGGTGGAAAGTGTGTTACAGAGGTCACAGATAGAGTAGCTCAAACAAGATCAGGTGGAAGGTGTGTTACAGAAGTCACAGATAGAGTAGCTCAAACAAAATCAGGTGGAAGGTGTGTTACAGAAGTCACAGGTAGAGTAGCTCAAACAAGATCAGGTGGGAGGTGTGTTACAGAGGTCACAGATTGTCGTGGAGTGAACAGCCAACCCTACACGATGGACGAATCGTGACGCCGACTTCCCTAAGCGGGCACGTCACATTTCAAACTTAAACCCGTCCGGAGGGGTATATAGTCCCTTATATTGATATATACCTCTATCTGGTGAAATAATCATTTCTAGACCCTCTAGTTGCTTTGAGAAGTCTACATTTTCAAACTTGCAACTGTGGGATGAATATTTCTGGTGTATAATTCAGAAATTCCTGTAAGCCTGTTTACTCCTTGGGCATGAATACAGGGACTTCTTTCCCTGAGACGCTAGCGGGGGTTTTGAGCGGCATTCTTTAGCCTGATCTCCAAAGTGTCAAGACGTGTCTACAGTCTATGAACAAAATTGGCGCATTCAAAGTACCAGTTTTATCTTTGAAGAATTCCTAAGCTTGGATAAGTTGATTATAGTTTACGAGTACCATAATATATGTCTTTTTAAAGTTGGCCACTGCTGCAGAGAGGGAAGATGCAGCTGTGTAATCACACAGAATTGGGCCGTTCTTGATGTCCAGAGATCAGGCTCCGAACATGAAACCTTTCCCTGTGCAGACTAAATAGTTTGTGCTCTATATAACCCACACCATTTGTAAAGATATTAAACCCTACAAGTAATTTTCTCTTACCAGACAAACGAAGTTTTGTGCCTCATAGCAGAAATATGGAATCTGGGTCATCTTTTGAACAGCTAGAAACTGTGACGTCAGAGCTAGACGCTCTGAGTCAAAGGTGTGTTTGGCACGGAAACATTGGGTGTGTAGTGAGCAGCATGTGGAGACGTGAAATATATATATATAGGTACTAACGGGATACATTGTATGTCTATCAGAACAGGTATGCTTCGTGCAGAGTGACATGCTTCGCTGCGGAGGACACGAGTGAGGAGTATTGTCTGGATTTTTTTACCGGGTCACGCCGGTGTGTGGGGAAATGAACAGGTGGACAGACTGGCTGGCTCTGCACAACTTGGTGGAATACTGCTACATGATAGGGCAGACGTGGTTAGTGCCTTGTTGGAGAGCGTGTGCAATGCGCAGGAGCAGATGGATCACCACAGTATGGTGAGATTGATGCAGTTGGGGATGACGAGAGGTTCTGGCAGAAGCTCAAGGCTCAGAGGAAAGGCAAGACGGACATTTAATCAGAAAGCTACTGGCACCATTAGTATCGGAACTCTTCGCTGGCTGCTGAAGATGGAGACGGAGCGCTTATGGGAATGCCCCGGGTGCTGTGATGTCGGTTCTTGAAACAAATCAATCAAATCAATCAAACATTGTATGTCTGCGAGTGCAGACTATATACATTGTCTTCTATCTGGTGTACTAATTTACAGACAGATAAATGGAAGGAGACATTATCTCCTGTTCTTGAGAGTTACACTCTGAGGAATGGAGAAGGGTAGCAAAGTGTGGAGTGAGCTGGTGTGTGAATAAGGTTGATTACTAATTCTGAGTTCTTTCCTGACAGGATGATACCTCCTTAGAGATCAGGCAGATGAATCACAGTCCAGCCAACAACCACCAACCCATACCATTCTGGGCACCAAGCATACCCAAAAGTCCTACCTATTGTTGCCACTACCTCAACATGGCAGGAGATTGTATGTGAGTTCCAGGACTAGTAGACAATTGCAGACACCTATGTCATCAATCCAGAGAATCAGTCTTCAAGAGCTTTGTTGGGCTCCTATGCAGTTCCTGTTTCCTTATTTAAGACAGTCAGCGTGTACCAGATCAAACCGAGGCATAGCTATCCGTTGAGTCAACCACAGTCGAATCACCATGGACTGAGGGGAGCAGTGAACTACGAACTGGGATAAGGGATCTCTTAATCATATACATGCTCTCTTCCCACAGCTCCTTTTTGATTCCAATGATGAACTTATGTAATGTCCAGGAACTACATCTGGCTGCTTTAACATCTGGGTTGTGTAAAAAATTCCTGAACTCCATTCACTGAACACTCTTAATTATCTATTAATTTATATATGTATATATATTGAACTTATCACATGCAGAAATTTTCATGCCTGACTTGGGTGTCCCTGTTTCACCATTCTAACTGTCTAGCTTTTATGTTTGTGTGAGTAATAAGTGTAATCTGTGTTAACACGGCTATTATAGTATACTATCATAACCTGGGTGCCACCTTTTTATAGTAGTTGGGGTGTCCAGCCAAGTGTGCCTAGGAATATTATATATTTTGTAGTGCCAAAGTTTGAGTTACCCTACTCCTGAAATAAGTTGAGCGTATGTTGGCCACGGGATATCCCTTAGACCAATACGAGCCAACGACTCAACATAATTATTTCAGAGTGCTGTTGGTTCTTAAGGAGAAATCCTTAAATCAGGCACGTGACACAGATAGAGTGCTCAAACAAGAACAGGTAAAAGGTGTGTTACAGAGGTCACAGATAGAGTAGCTCAAACAAGATCAGGTGGAAAGTGTGGTACAGAGGTCACCGGTAGAGTAGCTCAAACAAGATCAGGTGGAAAGTGTGTTGCAGAGGTCACAGGTAGAGTAGCTCAAACAAGATCAGGTGAAAGGTGTGTTACACAAGTAACAGATAGAGTAGCTCAAACAATATCAGGTGAAAGGTGTGTTACACAAGTAACAGATAGAGTAGCTCAAACAATATCAAGTGAAAGGTGTGTTACACAAGTAACAGATAGAGTAGCTCAAACAATATCAAGTGAAAGGTGTGTTACACAAGTAACTGGTAGAGTAGCTCAAACAATATCAGGTGAAAGGTGTGTTACACAAGTAACAGGTAGAGTAACTTAAACAAGATCAGGTGAAAGGTGTGTTACACAAGTAACAGGTAGAGTAGCTCAATCAGAAGCAATCAATAAATGACCACCGCTATTAGAACTGACAAATGTGCTATTGGGAAACCTAAGAGACTTTGAAATAACGTCTCAGTTTATGGCCCACAGAGGATTATGTGCACACATCCAGAGATCGCCGAAAAAGAAGTACTGAAACAAAAGTGCCCGCTGTGTCGACGCAGGCGTGCCCAGTAATCAAATGCCTAGCCTAACAGAGGTAGTATGGCGTATCTTGAGGAGAAAATTCGGCCGGTGTTAACCGCATTACCCACGAGGAAGTTACAAACATGTTTCAAACATCAAATACTCAAACAAACATGTATCAAACACCATATACTCAAACAAACATGTATCAAACACCATATACTCAAAAAAACATGTATCAAACACCATATACTCAATCAAACATGTATCAAACACCATATACTCAAGCAAACATGTATCAAACACCATATACTCAAGCAAACATGTATCAAACACCATATACTCAAACTAACATGTATCAAGCACCATATACTCAAACAAACATGTATCAAACACCATATACTCAAACTAACATGTATCAAACACCATATACTCAATCAAACATGTATCAAACACCATATACTCAAACAAACATGTATCAAACACCATATACTCAAGCAAACATGTATCAAGCACCATATACTCAAGCAAACATGTATCAAACACCATATACTCAAACTAACATGTATCAAGCACCATATACTCAATCAAACATGTATCAAACACCATATACTCAAGCAAACATGTATCAAGCACCATATACTCAAACAAACATGTATCAAGCACCATATACTCAAGCAAACATATGTCAAGCACCATATACTCAAACAAACATGTATCAAACACCATATACTCAAACTAACATGTATCAAACATCATATACTCAATCAAACATGTATCAAACACCATATACTCAAACAAACATGTATCAAACACCATATACTCAATCAAACATGTATCAAACACCATATACTCAAGCAAACATGTATCAAGCACCATATACTCAAGCAAACATGTATCAAACACCATATACTCAAACAAACATGTATCAAACACCATATACTCAAGCAAACATGTATCAAACACCATATACTCAAACAAACATGTATCAAACACCATATACTCAAACTAACATGTATCAAACACCATATACTCAAACAAACATGTATCAAACACCATATACTCAAACAAACATGTATCAAACACCATATACTCAAACTAACATGTATCAAACACCATATACTCAAACTAACATGTATCAAACACCATATACTCAAACAAACAACACAGATGGCGCCACCTACATATCGCATGTCCTCGAACTTGCCCTCATAGACGGCCAAGACATCTTCTCGTTGGCTGACCTGCCGTTTGAGGTCCTCTTGTTCCCGGCAGCAGGCGTTTAACCGCCCTCGCAGCCGCTCTATGTCATCCTGAAGCTGTAGACAACCAATCATATCATTACATGCACGTGCTCTATGTCATCCTGAAGCTGCAGACAACCAATCATATCATTACATGCACGTGCTCTATGTCATCCTGAAGCTGCAGACAACCAATCATATCATTACATGCACGTGCTAAATGTCATCCTGAAGCTGCAGACAACCAATCATATCATTACATGCACGTGCTCTATGTCATCCTGAAGCTGCAGACAACCAATCATATCATTACATGCACGTGCTCTATGTCATCCTGAAGCTGCAGACAACCAATCATATCATTACATGCACGTGCACAGCCTTCTAGTTTGTTTTATACTCATCTGTATTGTTGTCATTGTTACAAAACAATCTCTCGTGTTCAGACTTCGTTTTAGACCCTGTGTCACAGATTTCTATCAAGTCTATTATCTACACTCAGAGAGGATATTTAGTTTATTGCATCTATTCTGACATCACAGAGCCTAGAATGCGTTTCAAATGTCGTGCTCTCACTCTTTAACAAATATCTCCACAACTCAATGAACACTAATTTTTGCTTGTAGCCTTCAATAGGTCATGTTCTAATGATTTTATAAATTACATTTGCAGAGCTCGAGCTTTTTTTTTTTAAATAAAAGCGGCGAATTTCTTTGATCTTTGACTCATGTATGCGTTAAAAAGAAAATCTAGAATATACAGTGACTGACTGGTGCACGGAGATTTTTTGGAAATCATTTGACATCGACAGCGATGTCTGGTGATTATTTTGACGCTGACCCTCCATACAATGAAAGATTGTGTTCATCACTGGAGGCTGATGTTGAAGATGACTAACTGAGATGGACACGTCCATGAAACGCCTACAGTTTGATGTTTGTTTACATTAAACAAAAACGCTTAAAAGGACACGATTTGTAACGGTCTGAATGCCAGATTTCAACAATTTAAACCAAACCGTTACTGGGTTATATATCTTTTAAGCTGGACACCACTTCCGAAAAGGACTGTAGCATCTTTACTCACACAGTATCAAGCTTTTGGTGATACTCGTTCTGGCGATGTCCGTGCTTCCCTTGCAGGCAACCGTTAGTCCCCATGGACCATGAAGTTGTACCGCTGTTTTGGGATCAGCGTCTGCTGTGAGAGTTCTTCGCACGAATGGCGTCTTTGACACACAGTCCAGATCACACGTTGATACTCTATGGTCGTCTCTCAGATGTCTCCTATCTATAGCTTGCTGCGTTTGGCTTTGCGTCTCTCACTGTCTGCCTCCACAGGAGTTTGTCTGCAGCTGATCTCTCGCAAGACTCTGTGACGATGTTGATATCTTTCAGCTCACGTCTGCATCTGTGCTTATATTGTAGCTTTGGCTTTCAGCCTGATCGTTTCTCTCATTTACAGTTCACAATACAGGAAATCCTTTCGAATGCTACCATCCTCCAAGTGGGAGACCTGTCCCACAGAGAAACTCAGCTGCTGCTTCCCTTGATGTTGTAAAGTTGTTTTGTGACAGCCCATATCCGCCACCACTTGCCCCATGTTTAGGAAACATCAGAGTTGAAAAGAAGGGAAGCTACCGTGCACGGACAAGATGCTTGCAAATTTCTCTGGTTGTAGACCATCACCAGTTGTGTGATCGTTGGCACATAGCAAGGTCACAGTTTGTTTTGTTGGCTGCCTGGGTGGTTGGCTGGCTGGGTGGTTGGCTGGCTGGGTGGTTGGCTGGCTGTGTGGTTGGCTGCCTGGGTGGTTGGCTGCCTGGGTGGTTGGCTGTCTGGGTGGTTGGCTGCCTGGGTGGTTGGCTGGCTGGTTGACTGTTTGAATGGTTGGCTAGCTTGCTCCGTAGTTTACTCGCTGGCTCAGTGGTTGGCTGTGTGGCTCTATAGTTGGCTGGCTGGCTCCGTGGTTGGCTGGCTGGCTGGCTCCGTGGTTGGCTGGCTGGCTCAGTGGTTTGCTGGCTGGCCCAGTGGTTGGCTGGCTGGCTCCGTGGTTGTCTGGCTGGCTCCGTGGTTGGCTAACTCTGTGGTTGGCTGCCTAGATGGGTGTCTGGCTTGCTCAGTGGTTGGCTGGCTCAGTGGTTGTCTAGCTGGGTGGTTGTCTAGCTGGCTCCACGGTTGGCTGACTGGATGGCTATTATATCAGAAAAACATCCAGGGAACGAGTTTTCTTTAATAACTAAAAAAAGCTGCTAACTCTGTGGTTGGCTGCCTAGATGGGTGTCTGGCTTGCTCAGTGGTTGGCTGGCTCAGTGGTTGTCTAGCTGGGTGGTTGTCTAGCTGGCTCCACGGTTGGCTGACTGGATGGCTATTATATCAGAAAAACATCCAGGGAACGAGTTTTCTTTAATAACTAAAAAAAGCAGACAAGAGAGGGACAGACAGACAGACAGACAGACAGACAGACAGACAGACAGACAGACAGACAGACAGACAGACAGACAGACAGACAGACAGACAGACAGACAGACAGACAGACAGACAGACAGACAGACAGACAGACAGACAGACAGACAGACAGACAGAGAGTCCGAGAAGGACAAGGAAAATTTACATATATATATATATAAACCTATAACAGACAAGAGAAGGACAATCAAACGAAACAGCCTAGAGTCCCATCAGTATAATCGAAGACGCAACATTACAGAGAGGCAAGGCACTGGATCACTGACCACGCTGATCTGTTTGGTGTACTCCTGCAGCTGCTGGCACAAGCACTGGATCTTCTTCTCATACTGGATCTGGGCTATTTGCCTGGCCTTATCGCTGGACATGCTGGTCAAGGCTGGGCTCGCATGACCTGGCTCCACACGCTGACGCCCTCGTCTTGCTGCAGAGTTGTAGTGGTTGTAGGATTAGTTGTTGCTGTAGTAGTAGAAGTAGTTGTTGTTTTTGTTGTTGTTGCTGCTGCTGCAGCAGTGGTAGTGGTTGCAGTATTAGTTGCTGCTGTAGTAGTAGAAGTAGTTGTTGTTTTTGTTATTATTATTGTTGCTGCTGCAGCAGTAGTAGTGGTATTGGTTGTTGTAGTTGTAGCAGTAGTAATAGTAGTAGTAGTAGTAGTAGTAGTAGTAGTAGTTGTTGTTGTTGTTGTTGTTGTTTTTGTTGTTGTTGTTGTTGTTGTTGTTTTTGTTGTTGCAGTAGTAGTGGAGGTAGTAGCTGTGATGGTAGTAGAGGTCGTAAGAGCAGTATTAATTGTTGTTGTAGTGGTGGTTGTTGTTGTAGTAGTAGTATTAAAAAGAGTAGTAGTGGTGGTGGTAATGGTAGTAGTGGTAGAAGTAGCAGAATAGGTTGTTATATCTCTGTTGTTATATCTCTCTCTGTTGTTTTACTCTCTCTGTTGTTTTATCTCTCTCTCTGTTGTTATATCTCTCTCTGTTGCTATATCTCTCTCTGTTGTTATATCTCTCTCTGTTGTTATATCTCTCTCTGTTGTTATATCTCTCTCTGTTGTTATATCTCTCTCTGTTGCTATCTCTCTCTCTCTGTGATGTTTTATCTCTCTCTGTTGTTATATCTCTCTCTGTTGTTATATCTCTCTCTCTGTTGTTGTATCTCTCTCTGTTGTTTTATCTCTCTCTCTCTCTCTGTTGTTTTATCTCTCTCTGTCGTTATATCTCTCTCTGTTGTTTTATCTCTCTCTGTTGTTTTACCTCTCTCTGTTGTGTTATCTCTCTCTGTTGTTATATCTCTCTCTGTTGTTTTATCTCTCTCTGTTGTTTTATCTCTCTCTGTTGTTATATCTCTCTGTTGCTATATCTCTCTCTGTTGTTATATCTCTCTCTGTTGTTATCTCTCTCTCTGTTGTTATATCTCTCTCTGTTGTTATATCTCTCTCTGTTGCTATCTCTCTCTGTGTGTTGTTTTATCTCTCTCTCTGTTGTTATATCTCTCTCTGTTGTTATCTCTCTCTCTCTCTGTTGTTGTATCTCTCTCTCTGTTGTTTTATCTCTCTCTCTGTTGTTTTATCTCTCTCTGTTGTTTTATCTCTCTCTGTTGTTTTATCTCTCTCTGTTGTTTTATCTCTCTCTGTTGTTATATCTCTCTCTGTTGTTATATATCTCTCTCTGTTGTTTTATCTCTCTCCCTGTTGTTATATCTCTCTATCTGTTGATATATCTCTCTCTGTTGTTATATCACTCTCTGTTGTTATCTCCTTCTCTGTTATTATGTCTCTTTCTGTTGTTATCTCTCTCTCTCTCTGTTGTTTTTTATCTCTCTCTGTTGTTATATCTCTCTCTGTTGTTATATATCTCTCTGTTGTTTATCTCTCTCTGTTGTTTTATCTCTCTCTCTGTTGTTTTATCTCTCTCTCTGTTGTTATATCTCTCTCTGTTGTTTTATATCTCTCTGTTGTTTTATCTCTCTCTGTTGTTTTATCTCTCTCTGTTGTTATATCTCTCTCTGTTGTTATATATCTCTCTGTTGTTTTATCTCTCTCCCTGTTGTTTTATCTCTCTATCTGTTGTTATATCTCTCTCTGTTGTTATATCTCTCTCTGTTGTTATCTCCTTCTCTGTTATTATGTCTCTTTCTGTTGTTATCTCTCTCTCTCTCTGTTGTTATATATCTCTCTCTGTTGTTATATCTCTCTCTGTTGTTATATATCTCTCTGTTGTTTTATCTCTCTCTGTTGTTTTATCTCTCTCTGTTGTTATATATCTCTCTCTGATGTTTTATCTCTCTCTGTTGTTTTATCTCTCTCTGTTGTTATATCTCTCTGTTGTTATATCTCTCTGTTGTTATCTCTCTGTTGTTTTATCTCTCTCTGTTGTTATATCTCTCTCTCTGTTGTTATATCTCTCTCTGTTGTTTTATCTCTCTCTGTTGTTATCTCTTTCTCTGTTGCTATGTACTCTTTTCCCCTGTCACTTTCTCGTGGTTAAGTTATCTGACAAACAATTCCATCATTTTTTAAACGAGAATAAATTATCGTTAGCCGGATCATCTTGAGCAACTGCAGCCTGGTCAGCCGCTGTGATCCCAGAACACTACACTCTGCTACATAAATCCCCG